CGGAGATTCAGTAATCATCTAATCAGCAGTTAATCATCAGCAATCAGTTATTATTAGCAATCGGTTTCAGCAATCAGTTTTCAGCAATCAGTTTTTCAGCAATCAGTTTTTTTTAGCAATCAGTTTTCAGCAATCAGTTTCTTGCGGTCAGTTTGGCAGTCAGTTTTCAGGGATAGTCTGACCAGCTTGTACTGGCAAGAGTACTCATGAGCACAGTTCAGTCTACTCCGGTCAGTGAATCAGTGCTGGCCAGCCTCAACCGGATTTCATGCAAGGAGGCATTCCATTATCAATATGTTAGTGCCATTGGTTTCAGACAGGGAGATCTGTCAATTTTCATTGTCCAGACCAGTTTTGCTGATGGCACTATCCACGATCTGAGGCCTTACCTGAAGAAGGGCAAGGAGACTCATGAGCTTTTTGATGCAGTCTGGATTTCAGCCACTGAATACCTTGAGCAGAGAGAGAGAGAGCTCGATGAGAGTGGCACTACGCTGATCCGCAGCTTCGGGCCTATGCTCTATACTGATTATCCTAGGCCTCCAGTCCCTCCTCTTCTCACAGATGGCACGAGTTGGCTGGATGTGATTGGATTGGCAAAAAGATACATCTCCATGTGCCTCGGATGGTCTTGCTCAGAGCTTGCTGGCTACAGGTGGCTTTTTGTCACGAAGCCTAGGTCTCAGATTGTACGTGGGCGTGGGTCACGGCATCAGTGAGGACTCCTGAGAGGTGCTGACCATGCCTGTTCACATGTACTTTCTGAGATTATTATGAGTTCTCACTCTTCCCTCATTGAATTGCCCATGTCTTTGCTCAAGTGAGTCAGTCTTTCTGCATTATTCTTGCTTGATGATTGCCTTTGTGGATGTTTTGTCACAATTCTCAAAATCAGATCGACATAATTGATGCATGCATAGCACCCCATAATTTTATGATTATTATTTGCATAATTCTCTGCTGTTCCGAATCAAAATAAAAGATTCCTAAGACCGGGGACCGGCGAAGACCGCAATTGAAGGGTCTCGCTCGAAGCCGGACGCACACAACAGGAAGGGATTTGCATTATTTAATTTATTCTATTTATTGCAATCACTTACAAAAATCCTGCGTGACATCCTGTTGGCTTTCCGGTCGCCCGAAGTAGGCCCAACTGGAAAAGGTGCGACAACGTGCGTTCGTGTGTGGGAGCAGGGCGCTGCTGAGGGCAGCGCCATAGCCAGCCTCCATAGCGGGCTCGGCTTGGATACACAGTGAGGCGCAGGGGTGGTTCTCGGGTGCAAGAGAGGATAGGTTAGGGTGTTAAGTCAAGGAAGGGCGAAGGATGATGATGATGATGATGTGAGGGCACTTGCCTTGTATTGGCGATGGTCTGCATATGGGCGACACCTTCAAGTACTTCGGGTTGCTGCTGATGATAACAGTTGCATTGTCAATTAGTAGGCTTAGTAGCTGTGCTAGGAGTAGGTTGGGCGCTGAGCGCCAAGTGGGAATGTGAAGGGACTGGACTCTTGTGTTGATGAGGAGAGAGTATGCTCTCTGTGACTTTGGTTTTCAGTACTACGAACCTCCATTGGTGTATTATTGGTGCAATGCTGTTCTCTGGACACGGTGTGACTATCTGGCTTTCTATGTGATGGTGTAATCTGGAATTGTCATCTCCCTGTTGCTTATTTTCCTTGCAATTGGACATTCGGCCGGGAGACTATTTTTGGGACTTGCGATCTTGGTCTTCTTCCTCATTTCCATCTGCGTTTTGCCTCTCCCTCCCATCTCCTCATCCGTGGTATCTCCCGGTGTGCGTGATCAAGGTCCTTGTTCCGTCTATGTATGCGGTGCTGCTCTCTCTCTCATATGTGGTTTATGTTGGGGTGTCGCGTCAGTATCTAACGGGTCAGGTCATATTTTTGACTCTTCCGTTGCGCTACATTGTGCTATTTTCATATGTATCTGGATGTGCATTGCTTGTTGATGCTTTGCTGACACTACATTGTCGATTCGAGTCCTTTTCATCACTTTGCGGATCCCTGGCTCCCCATACATCGCTCAACTTAGCATCTATCTGTTGGTACCGGAGCCCCGCCCTTGAATCAGGACGACAACCTGACCTACGTGCGATTGGGGACAATCGATCGATTGGTTGATTGATTGATTGATCAGTCATGGTAGATCGATCGATCGATCAACTGATTGATTGATTGATTGATTATGAAACGGTTTTCACCTTTGCAGTAACAGATGCAGATCCCAGGGCTCAATCCCTAGACCTCACCTCACCCGTGTACAGTACCCCTGTGTGTTTTGAACCTGTGACCTGCGTTTTAGGAGTCAGTTGTTGTCTGTTGTGGGTCGGTGTAGTTGTCGGGTCTTGAACTGTAGGCATGTCAACTAGGGGTCATTGTTGTGTAGAGGCTGTAGCTGTAGCAATTCTGAAAGGTCAAGGTCGTAGTTGCTACAGTTCTGAAAGGTCAAAGTCGTAGCTGCTACAGTCCCGAAAAGCCAAGTCCGACTTTCGGAAGGTCCGGAAGTGGCCTTTCGAGTTGTTCTCACATTACTCACAGCAGACCAGAGGCAAGTCGACAAGTGGCAACTTCGCTTAGTCAGCGGTACCCAGTCCCAGTCTCACTTTGTACAGTCAGCAAGTACCATGAGGGACTGTGTGCAACATGGGAGATTGTTCGTCCATAGCCAGTAGTAGTAGAGCGGCCATAGCCGTTGTAGCTTAGAGAGAGGTCAGTGTGTGTGTGTGTGTGTGTGTGTGTGTGTGTGTGTGTGTGTGTGTGTGTGTTTTGTACTGAGTTTGTGTGCGTGGGATATCCAGGGATATCCAGAGTCGAGTGCGAGCAAATGGTTGTGTGAATACAATGTCGGACAGAGGATGTGTGAGCGCTCAGGCGCCATAGCCAGTTGGAAGCGAGTTTGTATCCAAACTGTGTTCTTGACTTGAATATCTCTGAGCATTGTGTGGGCGCACAGTGCCAGTGTGGATTGACATTTGTTTGCATGTATGAGAAGTGAAGAAGAAAGTGAGTCTGATTACATTGGTATCGAGCTGGTCACTGCTATTCCACGCGCCATAGCAACAGTGCGCCGAAGAAGAAGAGTCCGCCATAG